AACCAACAATACTATTGTAGTAGAAGAATAAATATCACAGTGGAATAAAAATACTAGGCTGTAAGTCAATCAAATTAATCCTTTTATGGTACATATACATACATACATACATACATACATACATACATACATACATACATATACACACACCGCATCAGGGAATTCATACAGGCACCTACTAAAGATTGGTCTCCCATCCCTGCAACAAATGGTGTGACTTGCAACACATTTATGTAACTGTCGATAAGGCTATATCAGAGAGAAAGGCTGTTGTGGAACTACAAGTTCCATGAGGCATTGAAAGACTGACAGCCACCAGCATGACTTCCAGAGGGAGGTACATGAGGAGATTTGTACTTTCACCACAGCTGGAGGTCTGAGATAGCCTACCCCTGGTGTATATGAATCTGTTGCAGAATTGCCTCAGACATACTTGCACATTTGACACAATTGGCTCCATCATGGAAAAAGCCTTATTTTCCTGCAAATGCCGCTTCACGGATATGGCGGGATTTCTTCATGAAATAGCAAGAAACCCGTTAAACGGCTTTCACAAATTTTGCGCAGGACTTCCTGATAATAATACCAGAAATGTGTTCCAAATGCTTTACTTCAACACATTGCTTGCACGTTCCACACAATTTATATTCTATATGTTGTTTTGTAGAAGCTACTAGCACGCTACTCGTGTGCTACAAATGCCTGCTAAGTCCATCCACCTCCCTATGGTCATTGTAATGACATATACAGAACAGTGATTAACAGAACATGCAGCTTTCTTTAAAGCAGCTACTCGCATAGCATATTTACTCTACATGTGCCAGCTGGGATGAAGAAATAATCTGTGGTCAATGGTTGGAATGCATTATTTCTCGTGCTTGTGCATTCACACAGGCGCACAGTCATGCAATGAAAAGCACACACAAGCTGTGCACAGTAAATGATCCTCAGGTATTTCCAGCCCATATAGACACAGTAGCAGAGATCTTGCATCAGCTTTGCCGTCTTCATCAACACAGGCAGTCGTGGGAAATGGCAAATGCCCCAAGCAGGACAACAATCTGCTACCAGGCAATAATATCACAGAAAGAAAAAAATGCGACCGGGAATGATCTCACCCGCCCGTCCACCTGTATGCAGAGAAACGTGTTCACAGTGTGAAGTGTAAACAGCCATTCTATTCAGTGTGTCCACCACACCTATGAAACACTCCTGGCCATGCATAAGAAACAACGATATGCACACAGTAAATGAAAGCATGGATGTCAGCGTACACATTTCAAGCTGCTGCGTTCACCTTTTACATGTAAATCCATACAGCAACAGTCTATTATCTCCACACAAAGCCACACATGCCTGCATTCCATTCATAGCAGGAGACTGTGCAATTTACCCTCAATACACATGTGTCATAGGTGTGACTAATGAAACGCTGCAAATAGTACAGATTGTTGGCACATTCCCTGCATAGGTCTTATGCTGTGCATACCTCTGCCCTGCAATCCGATGGCTTACCTGCAAGATCTAGGATGAAATGACACATACTAATCCTAGATCAGCGAAGGAATAGAGATCTGGTGTATGAATGGGTGTGTAATGGGTTATTTGAATGAAGATGGCTCGGCTCACATACAAATCAGTGCCTACCAACCACAGCTTTGCATTTTATTCACACTGGGGATCGGATTGCCAGCCTTTTTCTACAAGGCATACACTCGGGTGTACCACAGGCAACACAGGAAGGAGGGGGTACATCATGCATCATTGATTTACTGGGCACACTACGCTGGTACACACTGGGGTCTACACAGGAAGGAGGGGGTACATCATTCATCATTGATTTACTGGGCACACTACACTGGTACACACTGGGGTCTACACAGGAAGGAGGGGGTACATCATTCATCATTGATTTACTGGGCACACTACGCTGGTACACACTGGGGTCTACACAGGAAGGAGGGGGTACATCATTCATCATTGATTTACTGGGCACACTTCGCTGGTACACACTGGGGTCTACACAGGGAGGAGGGTGTACATCATTCATCATTGATTTACTGGGCACACTACGCTGGTACACACTGGGGTCTACACAGGAAGGGGGTACTTCATTCATCATCGATTTACTGGGCACACTACGCTGGTACACACTGGGGTCTACACAGGAAGGAGGGGGTACATCATTCATCGTTGATTTAGTGGACATACTTTGATGGTACGCATTGGGTTCAACAGAGTGAACAGGCAACACAGAGAGGAGGGGGGTACATTATCCATCATTGATAAGTGGGCACACTTCCCTGGAACACACTGGGGTCTACAGAGTGAATGGGCAACACACGGAGGAGGGGCTAGATCATCCATCATTAATTTAGTGGGCACACTTCCCTGGTACACAGCGCGGTCTACAATGGACACAGAGGACAGGGTAGATTATCCATCATTGATTTCGTGGGCACACGTTGCTGGTACACGCTGGGGTCTACAGGGTGAATGAGCAACACAGAAAGGAAGGGGTACATAATCCATCACTGCTTTAGTGGACACAATGCACTTGTACACATTGGGGTCTACAGAGTAAACAGGCAGCACAGGGAGGGGGAGCAACATTCATCATTGTTTTAGTGGACACACATTGGGGTCTACAGAGTGAACGGGCAACACGGGGAGGAACGGGTACATCAACCACTGCTTTAGTGGGCACACTTCGCTGGTACACGTTAGTGTCTACAGCATTAATGGGCAACGTCATCGTATTGCTTTAGTAGGAATACTTCACACTGGGATCTACAGAGTGAAAGTGCAACACATGGAGGAGGGGGCAAATCACTGGTGCACACTTCAGAGTAGATGGCACATAGGTACATTTTACCAGTACACACTGGTGTCTACAGAATGACTATACTGTGCAAGGGAGAGGAGGACATAATGTTCTAGTCTGGGCTATAAATCCCCACTTCTAGGAGTCACATCACTCTCCCTGCAGCCATACTGGAACCACTGAAGTGAATCGACAGTGCAGCTATGAAGAAGACAGACAGTGTTAAATCCTATGCAATACATTCACTCACACTGGTACACACATCAACCTAGCTAATCCCACAGTGGCACACACCCCTGGGCATACAGTTGGATTCTGCAGATCAAACAGAAAATACACAGAGGAACAGAGCACAACACATCTTTGTGCCCTAGTGGGCACACAGCACTGGCACACACAGGGTTCTGCAGACTGACTGCAGAGTACATGGAATAGGGGTACACCACACATCCTAGTTCCCTGGAGGGCACAGTACTGGCATACAAAGGGTTCTGCAGACAATGGAGAGTACATGGGGTGGGGGGGTTACAAAGGGTTCTGCAGACTGAATGGAGATAACATGAAGAAAGGGGTACATCACACATCTTTGTGCCCTAGTGGGCACACCACACTGGCACACAGGGTTCTGCAGACTGACTGGAGAGTACATGGAATAGGGGTACACCACACACCCCAGTTCCCTGGAGGGCACACGGCACTGGCATACAAAGAGTTCTGCAGACTGAATGGAGATAACATGGAGAAGGAGCTACATCACACATTTTAGTGCCCAAGTGGGCACATGGCACACACAGGGTTCTGGATTGTGAATGGGCAGTACATATAGGAAGGCTACAGTACACATCTTAGTGCCCAAGTGGGCACATGGCACACACAGAGTTCTGGATTGTGAATGGACAGTACATATAGGAAGGCTACAGTACACGTCTTAGTGCCCTAGCATGCACACAAGGCTGGCACACACTGGGTTCCGCAGACTGAATGGAGAGTACATGGAGATGGGGTAAACCACAGGTATAGGTACCCTAGTGGGCATGCAGCACTGGTGCACATAATGGGGATTTGCATAGTACACTGGTATACCTTGAGTTCTGCAGATTGAATGGAGAGTTCATGGAGAAGGGGTACATATCAGATTTTTTAGTTCTAGTGAGCACACGGGAGTGGCACACAGTGTTCTGCATTGTAAAAGGGCAGTACATGCAGAAAAGAAGCACATAACACATCTTGGCACCCTACCGGACGCACACACAAGGCTCTGCAAGTTAAATGGACAGTACTGGAGGAAAGGGGCACATCATCCATCTTAGTGGGCACAAAGTCTGGCACACACTGCAGTAAACAAAGTACAAGGAGTTGGGAGCACATCACACCTTTGAATGCCTTAGTGGGCACACAGTACAGGGTGAATGGATAGGAGGAGGAGAGGGCACATCACACATCTTGGTGGGCACAAACTGGAGGGTGACTGGACAGTGCATGAAGCAGGAGAGGGTACATTATACATCACCCAGTCTGGCACAGACACTGCAGGGTGAATGGATAGTACAAGGACAGGGCACAACACACATCATGGCGGGCACACACTGCAGGGTGAATGGACAGTACAGGGAGGAGGGGGCACATCACATACCTTACTGACTTAGTGGGCACACACTGCAAAGTAAATGGGCAGTGCAATGTGGAGGGGGCACATCTGACAACTTACTGGGCACAGAGTGTAGGGTGCACATCACGCATCTCGGTGGGCACGTAGCCCGGCACACTGCAGGGTGCGTGGACAGTACAGGGAGGAGGGGCACATCACACATCTTACTGGCTCAGTGGGTAGGGTGCACGTCCAGTACAGGGAGGAGGGGGTACATCACACATCTCGGTGGACACATAGCTTGGCACACTGTAGGGTGAATGGACAGTAGAGGGGGCACATCACACATCTCGGTGGGCATACATTCTGGCACACACTGGAGATTTGCAAGGACAGTACAGGGAGGAGGGGCACATCACCCATATAGTGGGCATATAGCCTGGCACACGCTGGAGATTGCAAAGACAGTAGAGGAAGGAGGGGGCACACACTGCAATGTGAATGGACAAGGAGGAGGGGGCACAGAGCAGCCGTTGTTTGCCTGGGCTCAGTGGGTGCGGAGAAGAAGGGAGGGTGCTGCTCACTTACATCTGCGGGCAGGAGAAGGAAGGAGGCCGGGCCAGGCAGAGCCCTCCAGCTGGTGCTCAGATGATAATGATCCCGTGCTGTACTCCAGCAATGGCTGGTAGAAGGTGATGTGCGGTGCCCGCGGTAATCCGTCCGCCGTGTGCCGCTTCCTGGTGTTCTGCAATCAGTGTCCTGGCTGTCGCTGCCCCCCCATACTATGGCAGGGTCCGGCACTGACACCGCACAGCAACATGATGGAGCTGCTGTTATTATGAGCGACCGCAGGGACAAGAGCGACACCGGAACGCAGCCGCACTCCACCGCAGCCCCTCCTTTCAGTGACGTATTGCCAAATAGGCGTGGACTACTGCTGCCGTATGTCTCCAACCTAGGAAGAAGGCGTGGCTATAGAATAGCCCACTCCTATAGTACATTCTTTCCTGGCTGCCTTCTTTTTCTTTGTTTTTTTTTTCTTCAAAAGCTTTATTAAACCGATATAGACAATCAGTAGTCATTGATGGCACCGTATTGGTGAATTCATGGCAGGGCAACGTTTAGATAAATGAGCCAAATTGTTCCGGCAATTGTTATTAGTAGTCACTTCGATGTCTATTAAAAAAGGACGAGTGACAGTGCTGGTGATATCAACCAGTCATAGTCCAGACGCCTTACGTGCTGCTGGTTCCCATTTCCATTGACAGTCTCTTGTGGTAAAGTCCCTGGATCTCAGTACTGACCAATCACCCCACTAATCTCTATTACCCTGAACTCCATGTTATGCTGGATAGTCAGGGCCCGTGAGTAAGGTCCAGTAATGGATCTGCAGGGGAAATCATAGCACACTTTTGTGATTGATTACCTGTAATAAGACTCCTACTTTCAAACTCTGAATTTGTAAAAAGAGGGACAGATGGAGAAGAGAAATGTGCTGAAACCTACCTGTTTTTTAACCATTTGAGTACTAGCCTGTCTATACTCTTTTATTACCGGGCCATTTTTCAGCTATTATTGCTGAGAGTAACACCTTACCAAAATAATTCTTTATCATTTTTTTAACCTATCGAGATTTCTTTTGTTGGTATTTCATAAACACTGTTTTCTTCTATTTGAGAAAGGAAAAATACCAAAGAAAACATGATGTTCTGGCTGCCTATTGCATTTCTTTAGGCCAGAGGCTAAAAGGCCAGGATAGTAGACATAGCCCCAAAATTGTTTAGTTTAGGACATATACAGTCAGGGCCGGATTTCCCACTAGGCCCTCTGGGCAGCAGGGAGTAGAGGGGCAGCAGGGGTGTGGAATTCCTATCTCCGGACACCTGGGACATTCAGTTCTCAGGTGTCCGGAGATAGGGGTAGTTTTTTTTCTACATTTAGCCCTGCTTCAGGCAAGTAGGGCTAAATGTAGAGCGGGGAAGCCACCGCTCGTTTTGTACAAGTGAACTCGGCAATGTCGTCGAGATCACTTGTATGCAGCCTGCAGGTCAGAAAGTAAAAATAAATAAATATTTAAAAAAGTGATAAAGTAAAACAAAAAAACAACTAACCCTGCCGCCCCCACTGTCTAGTTGCTTTTCTCCATTGGGGGGGGGGGTATGGCAGGGAGGGGGCGCATTGAGGAACCTAGCCTTGGGGCAGCAGAGAGTATATCCGGCCCTGTATACAGTGCAGTGCAGCAGTCAGAGTGCAGAGGTCAGGACTATTATTATTATTATTACATAGTATTTATATAGACTATGTAATGTACAGAAGAGCTTGTAGTTTTTAGTAGTCTGGAGTTAGTGTCCCCTTATGGTGGTGGTTTCTGATGAGTGCCCCTTTAAATGTTGGTGGTCAATGGTGTGTGCCTTCTTTTTTGTTGGTGATCAGTGGTGAGTGCTTCATAAGTGTTGGTTATCATTGGTATTTTCCCCAATAACATTGGTGGTCATTGTGTCCCCATTATGGTCAATATGCCCCCATTGTGCCTTCCTTTCATTGGTGGTCAGTAGAAGCAGTTATTTGCATTGGATAAACGATCAATGGCGGAAGGGGAGGGTTTATATATGTTTTTTTGCTAACATCTGTGATTGCTATGATTGGGAATCACAACTATCACAAGTTATAAGCCGCTCTTATTGGCTTTGTGAATTTTGCCTGCGATCTGTTTTGTCTAACGATAGCGCAATTAAAGTAATTGTAAGCACAGCTGATGCGAGCACAGGCAGTAAACAAAGAACCATTTTTAAATGGTGCTCTAGCAGTAAATGTCTACCTACCTGCCATAATTTCCAAGCACATTGCTAGACAGTGATGGAGGGGTGGGGAGCTGTGGGTGGAGCTAGGCATGGCTATTCAGTGATGAGGCTATCAATGGTATCTACTCTCACATAAAAAGTCAATAAATTAGAAAGTGCCAGAAATTCTTCATTGGAATTGTCTGGATGAATACTGAAGATTTCCTTCTCCCTTGCAGTTGTGTGGATGAAAATCCCTTGTTGATGTCAGAGGTCAGAGGAGAATGGGCAGACTGGTTCCAGATGATAGAAAGGCAACAGTAACTCAAATAACCACTCGTTACAACTAAGAAAAGGAACAGAGGCTACAATTTGCATAGGCTCACCAAAATTGTACAATAGAAGATTGGAAAAACGTGCCCTGGTCTGATGAGTCTCGATTTCAGCTGCAACATTCAGGTGGTAGGGTCAGAATTTGGCGTAAACAACATGAAAGCATGGATGGAGGCTGCTGGTGGTGGTGAGTAAGTGTAATTTAGAAACGTTAAATGATTGCTTTGAAGACATTATTACTAACTAAGGGATTCTGGTAATGAATGTACTCTTATTAAGTGATACTTGAGATAACGTGGCGCACATAAAGGGGGCTTTGCAAACTTTTATTAGGTCTCAACAAAGTTGAGAAATGCTTATACAGTTACAGTGCTGTATTTTCAGCAACATTCACAGATAAGGAAGATCTCGTCAGGCAAGTTTAAGCTGCTCATAGAGGTGTTGGCCTGAAGCATATCACATTCTTCGCAATCATTTCTCAGAATGATAAAAGCACAGGAAACAGAAAGTGTCAGCCTCGTCACTGCACGCATTGTAAATGAATTACATCCTTATGTTATTGTCCTCAAAAGTCAGTTATTACAAATGAGAAAGTAATAAACTGCAAGTTAATTTTTTCTGCATCTATGTCAGTAAGTACACTTGAGACATCAGCCAAGCAAACAACGGGGACCAGAAAAAAAAGTCCTGGCCAATTAAAGCTGAGGCAGTCCATTTGCCCCTGTACAACCCAGTAAGTTTTTTCAGCCAGTAAGTAGTAGGGTTATTCACTTCCTGCTGTGTCCTGTTGTGTGAAGTAAATCGAATTCTCCCCAATGGGACAAAGACAGCAAAAAATAGACTGTAGGGATTTAATCATTCCCTACTTCATCCAAAACTGGAAAAAAAAGTTAGGCCATGCATACTCTTTAACTTTGCCTCTAGTTATTATACAAATCAATACCAAAGTCTTCTATCACTATTGGATAACATTGCTACATAGATTGCTAGTAAAATAAAGGCAATGGTCAATCTGATGCCACCGGATCAGAATGAAGGGCAAAAAACTAACAATTTGACTTTATGGGGATTTAATTGTATAACCTGATAAATTACACCTGATTCTACATTGAACTGTACCCTGGCCTGCCTTTTAATAGTGGAATATCATATTGATGTCACTAATGAGTATGACTTGATGTAGATGCGAGGCACTGGAACTTTCCTAACTAATGTCCTATAATGTTAACGTCAAATCTAATAGGTGGAGCTCACTGGTTCTGCTTAGGCTCATATCATCATCCAGGCAACCCCAGGATGGGCACTATAGACAAAATCTAGTGTAAAACAAGGTAAAGCAGCCAAAGATGTGAATGCAAGGTGCTGGATCTTTTGCTATTAAGGTCCTATTGGGGCTGTTTTATCATTGTTACCCCCAAAGTGAACTAATTAAAAACATCTTGACCTCTATGACCATTGGGTTGGCATACCTATTAGTCATTTTAATTCTGAACTAATCAGTGATAGAGCTGAGAGGTATTTCATTGCCATCTCTGCATAAATGTTCTTTCTGTGGTGGAGGTTTTAGCAATCACGCATTGACCAGCTCTTAGCCAGATCGTTAGTTAATGAGGTGAGAAGCTTTCCTTTGGATTGGTAAAGGATCTTTCAGTATCATTAAAGATCCACTATAGTAATGGATTCTCAAATCATCCCTGAATTGGTGCTGACACTGTGCTTCCTTCTGCGGTGGCTACTTTTGTTCCCCATTGTCCATGTGTTGAAAAGTAGCCACCGCTCCAAGCTCACTCCTGTGATGGACTACGCTCTCACATTTAGTTTACTAATTTGTATTGAGATTGTAATCCATCATGGGAGCAAGCTTGGAGAGGTGGCTACTTTACAACACACACAGGGACCATGGGGAACAAAAGTAGCCCCCCTCCAGAAGGAAGGACAGTGTCAGCACCAATTCAGAGATGATTTGAGGATCTACAGCTGAGTGATACACTAATAAAATACATTTTTAGTAATAGTTAAGGTACTTCAATGCATTTTTAAGATTTAACTCCTGAGTTTAAATTTAAAACTAGTCTTAGTGGAAACATACGCTTATTTCTATATGACTCAGTTGTAGATCCTCAAATCATCTCTGAATTGGTGCTGACACTGTCCTGTCCTTTCTTTATATATATTTTACCAAAAAATTGGGTAATAATAAATGTTTTATAACATAATGTTAAAAAAAACTTTTCAGTAATTTTTCCTTAATATAGTAAAAAATAAAAACCCCAGTGGTGATTAAATACCACCAAAAGAAAGCTCTATGTGTCCCCAAATAATGGTATAAAATTCATTTCAGTACAGCATTGCATGACTGAATAAATGTCAGTCAAAGTACCGCGGTGCTAAATACTGAAAAATGGCCTGGCCAAGAAGGGGGTGTAAACCCCTGGTCAGCAAGTGGTTAAATATCATGCCTGGGGGGTCCCCTTAGACTGCCTATAAAGTGGCAAATCTGTACAATGTATAGAACCTGCGCCGCAAAAATGAAATTTATGAAGAAAAAAATGACATAAAGAGAAATAAAAAAGACCCTTTTGGTCTGGTAGGAATGTTAGGAGTGACCCCATTTAAATAAAAGGAAAAAAAAGCGTTGAGTTTTCCCCAAAAGTCATACCAGACCCTTAAGGTCCGGTAGGAGTTTTAGGAGAGACCCCATTTAAAAAACAAAACAAAAAAAGAGTGTGGGGTTCTCCCTCAAAGTCATACCAGGCCCTTAAGGTCTGGTAGGAATTTTAAGTAGGAACCCCACCCCCCAAAAATGGGGGGGAAAAACATGGGGTCCCCCCTAACATTGCTA